AGTAAGAGGACCTCAACTCAAGACAGGGAATTGTTAGGAAGGGAAAGATTTCAAGCTGGAAGGAATGACTGGAAACATCAAAGTGGGGATGGTGAGGAGTATAAAGGTGAAGTCCTGAAGGTCTGGGGACCTGCACACGATGATGTTGTTTTTGTAGAGGAAAGGCAGATTGGACTGATGTGGATGGAGAATGGAGTTGGAGGTGAGAGAAAAGTAGGTGGAGGTGTGGGAAAGGCAAGTAGAGAACAAGTGAAAGAAGAGAAGAGAAATGGGGCCAGGGGGTTGGACCTGTATAGCAAGAAATGAGTTGTTGGTTTCAGTCTGGCTGTCAGCGAATACACATTGCCCAAACATTTCTACATTTGACATTATGTACCTTTTTGTTAATAGGCTCAGCAGAGAAGTCATGTACTAGATAGCTATGGTGATTGAACTATCTTCTTACCCTAGAGATGCCCCTGCCTATTCAAGGTGGAAGAAATCTGGTTGGGAAATCTGCATGACCTCTGCTCATGCTTTAGATAAGTGGTGCTCAACCTTTTTGCCTGGTGGGCTGGCAGGGCTATGCCTAGTCTGTTGGCAGGCCAGATCCTGGTGGTCTAGATCTGGCACCCAGATGGGGACACCTGGCTGTGTGGAGGGAGGTGGGTGGGGAAACAGCCTGGCCCCAATCCAGCCACACAAGGGGAGAGGGCTTGGCCCAGCCCCAACCCAGGGCATGACCTGACCCTGATCCAGCCATGTGGGGGAACAATGCTTGGCCGAGCCCGAGCCCAGTCCTGTGGGTTGGGGGGAAGTGGCATGACTTAGCTCCATTCCAGCTGCCTGGGAGGAGGGGGCACGGCCTAGATCTCATCCTGATGTGCGGGGGTAAGGGGTGCAACCCAGCTCCCATCCCATATGGGGGGCTTGATAGGGCTTTGCTACACAGTAATTTTGGGTGGCTCCTTTTAACTCTTGGACTGTCCACACATCAACACCTGAAAATTATTTTAAATACTAATTATGCAACTCAAAGTTATGCCTCTCCAGGGCAGGGTTGTCTCTGACCAGTACTACCCAGCTCGTGCTGCACTAAGGTGCGGCCACTCTAGGCTACACCCTAGTGTAAACACCACAGCCATCTCCTCTCCCACTGGCCCAAATTGAGCCCACTCCCTCTGCACCCCAGATCCACATTTACTTCCCCCCCCAGGCCCTGCTTGCTTGTGGCTGCCTGCACTCCCTGTCCCCGGGAGCAGACAGGGAAGGCTTAAACTGCCTGCCTGGCCACCACTGCTGCTGCAGCTGCTGTACTCCAGGCCAGAAGATGGACCCTTCCCTGCCTGGTCCCATGGGACAGACAGTGTGGGCAGCCACATGTAAGTAATGCCCCAGGTGTGCATGGGGGGCGGGGGGTGGGTAGGAGGCAGGAGGGAACCCCAGGGGCAGGGGGGAAATGGGGGGAACCCCAGGGTGGGCAGGGGGCAAGCCTAGAATGGGGGCAGAGGATTTTACCTTTCAGTCCTCCAGGCCCCTGCTGGCCTGGACATGCTCCTGTTCCAAGCTTGAGCTACCACTAGCACCCATCATCATTTGTGCAGCTCAGTGTAACGTGTAACAAGGCCCCTAGTGACAGTGATGGGCTACAGCCTATCATCCTGGCCAGTATGCTGGTGGGGAATGCCATTGGTTTGTTGGCTCTTGTGTTAGTGTAAACTCTTTTAGACAATTTGAACATTAACAAAATTTATAAAATGTAAGGAATATCAAAAGTGCTCTGTGGTGTACGGAGACAAGGACAGTGGGACCCTGGGCAGGTGCTATGATAATGCAATCCAGTAATAATAATAATAATAATCATATTATCCTAATGAGTCCAGCTGATGTATATATGAAAGGTGAAGGAAGGTTCCAGTTTGGGAGAGCAGAGATGAGAGACGGCCTAAAGAGTGATTTGCACTTTGATGGTTTGCCTAGACTTGCAGGAAGGGAAGGGCTTTTGTTTATGTCCCAGAGAAAGGCAAAATTGTTAATGGGGATCTGGGATATTTATTTGGCTTTCCTTTATATCCTGGGAAGGTTGAATACCTGTTCTGGGTTTTTGTTTTCATGGAAACCTTGAATCACAGAATGGAAGGGATCTCAAGAGGTCATGTAGTCCAACTGCCGGTGCAAGTTCATCCATGTTTAAACTACAGTAGTTGAGTGTCTTGAGGAAGTGGAACTTAGGTTCCTGGGGAGAGTCCCCACTGTGATGGTATGTGCTGTACCACATATTTCAAGCATGCTTTATCTCTGTACATCTGTTAATAGTTGTAGATATGTATCATTGTAACAGGTGTAAATATTTTAATAGAAAAGATTCTAGCTGACAACTTGCAAAAATATGTAGCATAGTTCCTACATCTTGTAGGACCAATAAACTGGTGACAATGTACTGCAAGTATCCTCCTCAATAGTTCTAGACACCAGAAAGAGGTTCAGCTATATATAATCAATAGTAAAACCTGTCCCCACGTGAGTGCAGTTAGCTTTTCACTGATCAAACAAAGGAAAAAAAAAAAAGCAAAATAGAAAAGATCTCGTATCTCTTAGCCTTTACTGAAACTCTTTATATAGAGAGGAAACCCATAATGTGTGTTATTCCTATGTGCAGCTAGGCTATCCCAATTAATTTGAATGTTAAGAAACTTTTTTTTAGTGTATTTCACTTACAGCGCACACTGCAAGGGACAAATCTGTGTCAGAACAGTTTATTGTGTTTTTGTACCCACTAATATCAAACAGCATCCCTGCTCATGGCAGTAAACTTGTATGTGGTGCTATGAGGAGAAACACCAGTAAAACCCCACCAAAACCTCCCCTCTGAATATTCCCATTGAACCACCTTGTGAGGACTGTTTTGCTAATTGTATATTGTTGCTAGTAGGAAATAAAACAAGTATGTGATGGTGAGGAAAACACCTGAAATTGTGTATTCAGATCCTTATCCCAAATCTCGCTGAACTCAACAGAAAGACGGTCCCTACAATGGGAGTTGTATTAGGCTCTTATTCACCATGGGAATGAATTGGTGAGCTCCAGCTCTCTCATGTGGCCAGATTCTACAGCCAAATGCAGCCTTGAGTGTGTGTTTCTTATGTTTGCTTGTTAAAAATTGATAGTGAAAAACACAGCTATTAGTATAACTGGCTGACCTTATTTCACATGGAGAAATTTCGTATTGAAAAATGAAGTTTAATTGAAACTTTTTCCTCCTATATAAACTCCCTTTTTGTTTCACAGCGACTTAGCATTTTGTTTAATTTCATGTTTTGGAAACATCCATTCTCATTTTTATTCATTCTTTGGTTTCTGCATTTTATTTCATTTCTCTCACTTCCCTTTTTGTTTCTTTTACGTTTCCTTTCCACCAGAACAAGGAAGAAATGACTTGAAAAGTGTGAGGAAAAACATTTCTGTTTGTTGTTTTCCACATGGGAAAATTCAGGAAACCGTTGCAAAAGAGTGAACTAGTATCTTTTCTTAGTTTCTTACCCTTTTTAAATTTTCCCTTCATTACTGGTAAAGGTAAAGAAAGTAAAGAACAGAAGAGCACCATCATCTCTCTGAAATCCACCCGAAGACCAAAGATGGTGGAATACTCTAATTTTGTGATGGATCAAATATTTATATGAAATATGTTAAGACAGAATTAAAATAGAAATTTAATTTTGTTTCAAAATGTCATGTATATGGGAAATGATTCCGGTTTTGACTAGTTACGGTTAAAGGTGTCTGTCGCAAGTTATTTGATAAACCTGGGTTGTCTCTTGCTCTCGCTGAAGTTGATAAGGATTTTTCTATTAAGTTCAATGGCAACAGGATTAAGCTCCTGTAACATTCTTGATCTTACCATAATTCCAGTCCATCCTACAGAATTACTCGCTGACATTTTCAAATATGTTTTGATAAACTATTTTTATGAGGAAACTTGGGAATCAAATCATGCTCTACAACCCTCTCTGGTCAGCAAATCTTTTTAGGCCTCCGCTTGTCAAATTCCAGTTGTACTTATTAGATAAGCACAAAACATCCCTTTCTATATTGTGCCTCTGACCTCTTTTTCTTGTAGCTTATGATAGAGGGGGAAAAGACCACCTTAGTTTTCTTTTAAACCAAAACTGAGACCCAAATATAGATATGCATCATAACATTTCTCTGTAGTCTCCGAATTGGCTGTCTCTGTGTTATCCAGGGTTCCCACCTTTCCTCAAACTAGCACGCTCATTTACATTGTGGATGGTTCAGTATTTTCACTCATGACACCACAGACTAATAGTTCTTGCTAGCCCATTTTGTAATCACCCAGAAGTGAGGACACAGTATATACAGATGGAAAAATAATTTTTTTGGATATATATTTTATTTGACAGTGGTTTAGAATATCATACAGTAAACAAGATTTCTGTAAAAGTTAATTTATCCATAGTGGTGCATTTCATAAAAATAGTTGCTCACTTACAGCCTTTCTGTGACTATTAATACATGGAATTATATTTATAGAGATAGAGCTGTACAGGGTAAATTCACAGCTAACACTACACAGAAATATTATTTGGAATGGGGTTTAGATGATGTGCTGTCTTCACAGGTTATCGATTACAGCCGCATAAAGCAATTGCTGCACAAGGAGTAGCTGCGAACTGTGCAAATTAGAGTTTATGCAAGCATAATCTCAACTGTTTCTCAGGTTTTATTGTTTGCTTTCCTTACACATAGAAAATAAGATATTGGGGTGTGCACCTACACTACAGAAGCACTGTCCAAAACCAGATTCAATAAATTAATGGCAAATTATACTGAATTTCTAGTTCGGGGGATAAAGAATTTTTTTTAATTAAATAAAAATTGGGTAAACAGCTACGTGGGTTTGTGCTTTTTAAAAAATTATAATTGATGTTTTCTAAAAAAAAAGGTACATAAAAGCTGCAAAATCCTTTATTGGAGGCTTTTCAAACACTCTGATAGGAAAAAAAAAAACATGCCCACATACTTGTAAGAAGAGAATGAATCTGAGTATTGCAGTCTAGAGCAATATTTTAGAGTGATAGTAAGGTACTAACCTATTGGAACAATGCTAATCTCAATGTGACTCTTGGAGAGAGCACATGCAGAACAGTTGATACCTAACTTTAAAATATATACTTTTCTGAGAATATTTATCTTCCTGATTTTTTATTTTTAACAACCAGTGTATTATTGCCCATGGTTTTTTTTGGCACACAACGAACAAACCCTACAGTAACTTACCAGGGACAAGACGGTGCTGACGGCACATGGAGTCTTATGAAGGCAGACTGGAAAGTTAAGCATTAGTACTTAAGGCTTGAAATTCAAGACAGGGAAGCAAGTAGGATAAAAATAAAAATGAGGGGCAAAAAGGGAAGAAATGCTAGCAGAGGCATTTCCATAATACAAACGAGGACACTTGAACATCTGTCTCAGAAACAAGTTTTGTTTGGGTGAATGTTTGCCTCAGTAGCATCTGTTCTGTCAAAGTGAAGGAGAAGAATTTAAAGTCTTTAAAAATAACTGCAATATAGCACTCTAGATAAGCAAAGTTACCATATTCTGCAAGAGAGAAAGGCCTTTCTTCAAGGAAGCTGCAGCTTTTTTTTTCTTTAAGAATCATCTTTTCATTATAAGGGTCTTGTTAGTGTCTCAATTTTGAGCTTGCCCAATTAAGATTGTGTGCTACATGCAATATTAGGGGAACCTGTGATAAACGGTTTCCGAGGACAATTTTCAAATACAACTCCACCCTAACTCCTTTCCAATGTACAGAAATATGATTTGTTCACAAAAATGGCAGTAGAAATGGTATCACAGCAACCAATCCACTAGATTCCCCAACTCCTCCTGTAGCACCCAGTGAACTATGCTACTGGGTATCATGTGGATTATCCCAAAGTGTTAACAGTGGAGACATATCATGAGTGTACAGTTCCAAATGCTTCAAAGAAACCCTTTAACCCCTGTCTGGATATGTTGAGAACAATTTATTTACAACATTTTAGCTCAGTTAAAAGATCCTTTCTCAGTTTCAGCTTGCTCCGTGCAGTTTTTATTTAAGGCGATGTTCCAGTTTGTGATTGCTCTAACTTGTTCCAGTTTCTTGATATAAAGTTTGAATGAAATCCAAGTCCTTCATGCAGTGGAAAAAATACTAAAGCTACACTGCACCATTCTTCTCTGATGTACTGTCCTTCATAATGTTTTGGTTTCTTCCATAGCTGCCAAAGTCCCTAAAATGGAACTGGGGACTTTAGGGTCAGTTTTAAATCTCCATGTTGACTATATGCTGTTTGAGCTTATTAGACACTGTGCACATTGTCATGGAATTACACATTAATGTTTTCATTCCTCAATGCTTTGTGTGTATGCGTGATAGTTAAAATAAATTAAAATAAATCAATGTGAGACAGAAGCTAAGAAGAATGTTCTGCGTCAATGTGAAACAGTTAGAGGGCAACAGTCACTTATTTATCTGCTCATGGCAGAAGTGCCAGACTTTAGTACGCTAGGTAGCTTATCAGATCCGGGAATTTTCCATGGTCCTGGTGAGACAGTTGCCTTCCGAACTGTAGTGTTGGTGCTGCGAGTGTTAATGGAATGAAGATATCCCTTCCTCGGGAACTCACTGGGTTTCCCATCAGGGTCCCTCTGGTTGTGGTCCATATCGCTTCCATATGAGCTACAGCTATTGCTACTGTATGTTTTTGTAGCACCACCTGAGTCAAGCCTGACATGTTCAGAAGCTGCAGCTGGTTTCTTCTCAGTGGTACTGGAGGATTTGTGATCTTCTTTTGCACTTAGAGATCCTCCTCTCTTGCTTTCTGACTTCTTCAATCTCCCGACCTGTTCGTCATTGGTCCCAGCACACACATGCTCTCTTGCTCCAGCTTCGACCACAGCGCTCTGTCCCATAGCCTTACTTTCTGAGGTGGACCTGCCACCATCAGAGGTCTTGTTTTTGCCTTCTAAATATCCCTTCCTAGAAGCCTCTTCATGCTTTGACCTGTCTATCTTTTTAGGACTTGCCGACCTTTCTCTTTGCTCTCCTACCCTTTTCTTTTTGTGACCATTTGCCAAAAGCTCCTTTGGTTTTCTTACATCATGTTCCCTCTTGATATCCCATGTTGGCTCTGGGTTTATCTGATGGGAAGGGTCAGAAGGTGGGGCTAGATGTGATGAAGATAATGGTGAGATTATGTCATCAAGGGAAATAGCTACTTCCGGCAGACCTGGGGAGGTGGCAGAGGGAGAACTCCAGGAGTTTGGTTCGTCTGTTATAACAACAAAGAAAAGGGCGTTAAGGAATTATTTACACAATTGGGAATACTTAATTTTTTTCAAACAGCATGCAACAGCTAAAATCCATATTGGATGTCAGTGTGGCAGTTTTTACTTATGCAAAACTCTAGGTGAAGTAAGAAAGGCAAAAATAAAATCAGTGGGAGTTTTGGATGAGTAAGAACTGCAGAAGTTGGCACAGTGCAACTACTGAAAATATCTGTCTCTGACATAAATTACATTTTTCTTTGCCTTTATTAGTGAACAATTAGTAGTGAAAAATAAAATATATTTTTATATCATTATAACAGCTTTGTTATTTGGCAATATCAACGCTGTCTCAAAAGACAAACGCAAAGGCTCATCTTCTATCTAGTATACATGTCCTTACAAGCATAAAATGATCAGCAAGAATTTGTAGCCCAGATTAGGTCATCCATCAAATCCGCTTTTTTCACCTAGATGTTAAATTGCAGTATTTAGGGACCTAAAATTATGCCTGATGTGAAGGCATACAGACTGGGGGAAATCTTGGCCATTAATTTTGAATTTGTCTTAGTTACTCAACCCCAGCACCATTTGGTTAGAATGTGTAGATCCAATTTCTTTAAGATACAAGGGTACATCCTGTACTGTCACACAAAGAGAGTGGGATGAATTGTATTTATATCTATCTCCAAAATACTTAGGGGTCCAATATTTCAATCCTTTGCTTTCACGACTAGTCCAGTGCCAATTGTTTGAACTCCTGTTAAGGGGCATTAGTTCTGACACATTAGTTTTGAAGACTCATGGTGACTGTTGGCAGTCCGTCTCCTATTTGTATCCCTACCCTTTAACTATGAAGCCAGAGCAGCCTTTCAGATTGGTAAATGCTTTTCTGTACTTATTCTTGTTAGGTGGCTATATGTATAAAGATTCACATGCTGCCAAAGATAAAGGGATATTGCAAGGATCCACATAAATGAGGTGGAGCAAATAGCAAGAAACAGCATGTTTCAAGAAGGAGAAAATATTACCTTCTAACTGAGGGAGGTAGCTGGGCTTCTATGGGACACCACTGATTGATCTGAACTGTTCTGAAAAAACCACACAGTGGGTGCATCTACATGAGACACTTTACTGTGTGGCAGAGCTAATTACTCTAATCTACACATGCAGATGCTTACTGTGCAGTAATTGGCTTTAATCATGCATTTACAGGTAGCAAATTTACTCAAGATTAGTAACTGTGCAGTAGCACATGTGTAGACCCTTGATCGGGAGTAAATGTACTCCCAGTTAGCCAGGCAGCAGGGGGCAGCAGCAGGTGGGAGAGCTTTCTGCCCTGGGAGCTGCCTGTTGCCGGGGCGTGGGGACAATGTCCCCCTGCTCCAGCAGCAGGCAGCTCCCATCTCTGGCTCCACAACTACAGGGCTGGGCTGGGAGATCTGTGTCTCTTAGCCCAAGCCCTGTGGTGGCAGAACCTTGGCTGCGAGATTCTTACCTCCCAGTGCCACCTCTGCGGTCACAGGGCTGGGAAATCCTTATTTATCTGCCTGAGCCCTGCAGTGGTGCGACCTGGGCTGGGAGATCCTTATCTTCCAGTGCCAGCTCTGTGATCATGGGGCCAGGGCTGCAAGTTCCTTATTTCCCTGCCCGAGCCCTGCGATGGCAGAACCCGGGCTGGGAGATCCTTATCTCTGTGCCAGCTCTGCGGTTGCGGGGCCAGGGCTACAAGATCCTTAGCTCCTAAATAAAATGCACACGCGCGCACACACAGTTTGTTTCTCCTGAAAAAAATCTGTGGCAAATTTCAAATTAACATGAGGATGCACATTATTTTGGAAAATTCAATGTCCTTTTCTCAATAATTTAGGACATCTTCAGCTGAGGCTGTACAGTTAAGCTAATGACGTGACTGTGTATTTTGCAGATAAAAATAGCAGAGATGACAGTGAGGTGAGTGATGTAATGAGTATGAGCAGCATGATTATCTGAGGAGCTATTTATTTTACCAGATGGTGCCGGTTATGTGCTTAAACATAATGAACATATGTGTGAGGAAAAAAATAGATACTGAAAAGGGAAAAGTGCAAGTTCTGTGCAAGATAAATAAACTTTGGGCTTGAAACTTAACTGGGCTGAGGGTCTTGATTAAATTAAAAAAAGACCCGGCACTTTCTTACCCTCTACTTAAGGTTGTGCAATATACCATCTGCTCCATGTTTGGCACTTAAGCAAGAAAAAAATAAAAACAAGGATTAACTTTTTGTGCTTCTTGGCTTTCGTGAATTTGCCTATGAAAAGCAGGTGCTGTAAAGGCATGCTGTCCACTTTCACATATCTCCAGGCTCATTTGTTTTCTTAATTCTGCTGTGCAATTCTGGTAGAGTAAGGAGAGGCTTTATGAAGGTGGAGGAGAAAAGCACACTCTTAGCCTGAGAAGACCTGAAGCCCACTAGACCCTGTTATACCTAAATAAGTCACTGAGCTTTATTTCTGGAGTTAAAAACATTTCTGAATTATTCTACTGCAAAACTGGTCGGTCTAGACTACAGGTTGCTTTGCAACACAAGGATATCTGAGATAGCTGTGGATGAGTTGACTCAGGTATTGCAGGTAACTTATTTGGGTGAGACAGAGCTCAGCATGGTAAAATGTAGCCCAAATCAAATTATGCAAATCATAGAATCATAGAAAGTTTGGGTTGGAAAGGACCTCAGGTCATCTAGTCCAACCCCCTGCTCAAAGCAGGACCATGCCCAACTAGATCATCCCAGCCAAGGCTTTGTTTAGCTGGGTCTTAAAAACCTCCAAGGATGGAGATTCCACCACCTCTCTGGGTAACCTCTTCCAGTGCTTTACTACCTTCCTAGTGAGCAAGTTTCTTTTAATATCTAACCTATATCACCCCATGCTGAGCTATTTGCTGCTGCTTCTGACACCAAAAGTAATTAATTTACAAGTACCTTGGGGACCTCTACACTACAGTCTGCAGCTTAGATACACCCTACGACTTGAGGTGTTAACCCTATGCTTGCTTGCTTCTTCTTATACCATATATTTGTCTGAAGCAATTTCTTCCTTGAAGGATTAATGGAACAGACTTTCAAATGAAGATCATATCTGCCAAACTCACATCAGAATTAGCTTTAGAAAAACTAAATGTTTGTTTCTGTCCTCATTTAACACCAGTCGTGTAACGTGGGGTGGGCAAGTGGGACACATGCCCTGGGTGCCACCTAAGGGGAAGGGTGCTAGAATGATGTAGAGTTGGGGGTAGGATGGCTTTACTTCAGGGCAACTCGCTGAAGCTTACCCTGACTATTGCCTTGCTTTGCTTTGCTGGCTCTTTGTGAATCCAGGAAGCTGCTGGCACAGGCAATGGGTGTCATTGAGTGCAAGGCATTGCTGGAAGGGTAGTTTTGTAGAACAGCAGTGAAGTTTGCTGTTGGGTTGGTGTGGGGGGTTGACCCCCATTTTTTTACAGCTGAATTCAGCATTTTTTCCCCTTTCTGGACATGGGCTTCAGCAGCTAAAATGGGTGAAAATTCCCCTCCCCTCCAAGCAACAGCAAACCCCACTGGCAGGCTAGAGAACTACAATTCCCAGAACACCTTGCACCTTGTGATGCACATTGCCTAGCTCTCTGCTCTCTTCCTGATTGAGAAGGTAGGAGGAAGGGAGGGTGGGGAAGGGTGAGATGGCTCCCCAGGGTGCATTCTTTCCACACTATGCCTCTGTTTAACACCCATACAAAACCTCTATAATCAGCTATGAGAGTAGAAAAGACACAAGTACAGGAAAAAGAAACAACTAGAAGAATATGTATTGCAGCTCTAACATAAACACCTTGCCCCTAGGTTAGTGGGCTCCTGAGCTTGTGCTTGATTGACATAAATAAACTTACTATATTATTTCTTCTACAGTTTCCTGTGATGTGATTTTTTTTTATGCTGAATAGAACTAGAATCTAATGAGCCATTCTTGATTCCCAAATCTCATGTGAGATCAGTGATATCAGAGTAGCCTATTACTGGGTACATCTACACATGCACTTTACTGCAGAGTAGACTAATTGGCTCCACAGTAAAGCATCACAGTCTACATGTGTGCTAATATTAGGACACAGTAGATACATTAACTTCACTGGAGATGGTATTATCTTATGATGGAGTAATTACATGCTATTAAACATATGTGTAGACTGTGACAGGGGCTGCTTGGGGCAGGAGGGTGCTAAAGTACAGGTGCTGCCTGCTGGCTAGCCCTGCACTGTATCACCCTTGTGCCCCAGCCAGCCCCTCTGTTACCCAACACCACCAATCGGAGCCTGGGGCTGACTCCCTGGGCCTCTGGTAGCCCAGGGCCGCTCCATCCCAGCTTGAACTTCTGCAGTCCCGGGTGCACATGTAAATGCTGTGCCCGGAAGCAGTTTTCTCTGGTGTGTACCATGCTGGAGCTTATCACTCCAGCTTAATTACACGTGTAGATGCACTTACTTTCGGGAACATCGGCTGCCAATAGATGTGCTCCTTCACATTCTAATTAGAAAGCAACAAATCTACTAATTGAGTCTGCACTGCACTCTAATTATAACACTCCAGCATCACCTCACCATCACATGTATTAATCCCCTACACATTTCAAACTGGCTGCAGGGGCACTTTATCCAAACCTCTATAAATGAGCTTTAGATAAAGCACCCTATGGCCATTTTGAAACTCTGTGGGGCTTAATACACATGATGGTATCCCATTTTAATTATTGTGACTGCCCAGGAACTGCTGTAATTTAAACGTTCCCTCTGCCCCCGAGCACATGTATAGACAGCCATCAATTCCAATGCTGTAAATAGTCAGGACCAGCAAAATCTGGCGACCTGATCTAGTCACTGCAAACTAAGAATGTGCCAGCCCCCTGAAAATTAATTAGCCCTCATCTGAGCAGGCAGAAGATTGAATCCCACTTACTTATCAACCTTTGACTAATAGACTGGACCAGAGTGGGG